CTGTATCAGACTTATTAGAACAACCTTGTAACATTCTTGTTATATCATGACTGTATCAGACTTGTTAGAACAACCTTGTAACATTCTTGTTATATCATGACTGCATCAGACTTGTTAGAACAACCTTGTAACATTCTTGTTATATCATGACTGTATCAGATTTGTTAGAACAACCTTGTAACATTCTTGTTATATCATGACTGTATCAGACTTGTTAGAACAACCTTGTAACATTCTTGTTATATCATGACTGTATCAGATTTGTTAGAACAACCTTGTAACATTCTTGTTATATCATGACTGTATAAGACTTGTTAGAACAACCTTGTAACATTCTTGTTATATCATGACTGTATCAGACTTGTTAGAACAACCCTGTAACAGGTCTGATAATACTATCAAGCATGTTACAAGTTGTTAACAGCTTGTACCAAACTTGTTACAACAACTGGGAACAAGCAGTGCGAACACAACTTGTCGACAGCTCGTGAAAAGATTTGTAACAACTTGTTTGTAACAACAGAGTTATAACAAACCTGCAGCAGACTTGTAGCAATGAAGTTCCAACAACTTGTGAACAAAATGTGTTAGGACTGCTTGTTCCAAACTTGTTGACAAGTTGTCAACGGCTTGGTGACGACTTGCTACAAGGTTGTTGAACTCAACAGACTTGTTCCACTAGGTGGGGTTCGCATCTCCCTCCCCCCTCCCGCCACGGTAGATCCGCCTCTGGGGTCAGGCTCTCTTCCCCCGGGGGAAAAGGGCTTTTAGACTTTTAATACTAAATACATTAGCACCATTGTCACTAGGAATGTTCGGTTAAGAAATTTCCGGTATCGGTATACCGAAAAAATTATACCGATATTATCGGTATACCGGTTTTCCTTTGATAATTATAAAGGAAAATTCTTTAATGGAAGTTTGAAGGAAATTTTGAGTAATTCTAAAAGGGAAAACGATAATTTCGAAGCTGTTTCGAACACGTTTCGAACGACATGCACATACTCAGTGTAAAATCTCACTGAAGTGGAAATTCCAAATGATTGCAGTAGAAAGTTCTTTGAATTGCCATTCAGTAGTAAAATAAAGGTTTATGGTTTCGCCATATGGTTGGTAAATTTAACGCGGTATACAGAAAAATTCCGGTATATCCGAAATTTCGGCATATCGGTATGGTTGAATATCCGGTATCGATATACCGATATTGATTTAATGGCGATATTTTCGGTATATCGGTATACCGAACAGTCCTAATTGTAACTTACCATTTTATTACCAGTTGATTCAGGGTATTCCGAGGGTACAGTGTCGACAGCAATCCCTTCGTCGTCTTCGTCAAGACTCTCTGGTTTTGCTTTCTCCTTCGTTTTTGAGACGTCTTTAACCCTAGGTAGCACCTAAAACACGAAAGATTTACAACAAACAACTTGTTAACGGCTTGTTGGCAGACTTGCTACAATTCACTTTAGCATAATTTTACAGATAAAGCACTAAACATACTTTTTAAGTTTGTTTGTCACGCTTGAGAAACGTATTAAAAATTTAAAAATTTGAATATAATTTATTCATTACTAAGTGGAGAAGTATTTTCAATAGTTTTGAGCCCGTGTTACGTAACATACAATCTTAATCTTCGAAGTTGAGACAAAGGATTTGTGCATTGGTGAGGTTCTGTGGTTCAACATCAAACAAAGGTCTTCTATTTTATAACTTAGACGTTTGCAGGGACTCCAGACCATCATATATTGACTGATTGTGATACCGTAAACCTCCGACTATAAGCCCCCCCCCCCCCCA